CTCTCGCCCCAGCATTCGAGGAGAGCAAGCTCCGCTTCCGCATCCTTCCTTCTCTGCAGGGTCGTGGAATCGGTCGCGCTGCTGAGATTCATGGCTGGCAGTCGAGCGAAGGAGGAGGCGTAGAGTTATAGTCTGTTGGAGGACTGGACAAGCAGTGGCATGTTGGGTTTTGTACGCTGCCCCCACTGTTCGAGCTGCAAGCCAATTGGTGCGCTCATTTTCAAGGGCAAGAGCAAGAGGATGCTGCTTTTTCAGGTGTCTGAAAATGTCCTGCGTCCGAGTGAACCACTGATGGCAAACAGGGCAGTGCCGCAAACCTTGGTCTCGATGTTTGGCTCACAGAGCTTCTGCAAGAGGCCTCCAGTCGGGAGCCTGGGCCAGCATGATGATATGTGGATCGTTCATCAGAGCAGGGGATGGAGACTGAGGTGCCGACTCAGGGGGGGAGGAGGCTGCAGAGGGGGCAGGCTGAGAAGCAGGCTGAGGCAGCGCAGAAGCAGAGAGGACAGTAACGTCCGAGGAAGGGACCTTGGGTGTGACAGCTGGTGTCTTTTCTCTGGAGGGCATGGCAGGACAAACTGTCACACACACACACAAGAAAGCCTGTTTGAAGCCCTTATAGCAAAACCACTGAAGCAAAACCCCCTCCGGGCCCCTCATAAATCCCTTTGAGAGCTGCCTTATCGGACCCGCCCAGATTTTCGGAAATTCAGGGCCGAGGATCCTCGGATCGCCCGATGCTGAAGGCGCCGAGAAGTGTTGGGATGGCGAGCATGCCATAGCCGATCCTCATCTCTGTTCTAAACCCTAAACCCTACGGTGTAGAGTTTCGGGCTTAAGAGTGTAGGGTCGAAAGTTGAGGGCTTAGGCTTCAGGGTTGAGGGTTTAGCTTTTGTGCTTTGGATTTGGGTGGGGCGATAGGCGATCCTGTGGTTGGGGCTTCTTCCAACAGGTTGTACAAAGGTTTGATCGGGGGGTCTAAAGATTCTAAAGAGTTCTACAAGGTCCAGTCTAGGTTTAGAACTTCATACCAAGGCTTGTAGCCGATGATACCGGGGTTTGTGTAGTGGTCGCCAGTCTGAACCTTAGAGTCACATCTGGTTCTGGTTTAGGGTTCTGCATGTTTACGCTGCGCCTTGCCGCGGCAGCTTTCCACATCGACCTGTGCACCTTGACTTTGGCATCCTGCTGGAAATCTTTATCAAGTAAGACATGCTTGAGTGCATTTTGCCATGCCTTCAGTGTTGCACAATCGCTCGAAAGTTGGTTCTCAACAAACGCCGCGGATCAGCATTGACAATGAGGCGAACATCTTGCCCAACACGGTCTGTGGGACTGCATCTCCATAGCCCACGGTCGTGATTGTTACCGTGGCCCACCACATCCCCGCAGGAATGGATTCCTGGGTCGCCAGACTGGAGATATGTAGTTAGTAGGTAGTAAGATGTCTAAATTAGGGTCCCTTTTCGGGTCCTTCTTAAAAGAGTGCCGTACTATTTTGGGGACCTACAAGGGGACCCTAATATAGGGAACTGCCCATATGGTTTCTGTATAGAATGATAGCTGCTATTCGCCCTCACGGCCGGTTGCCTCAAAGGTATAAAGGTTGCTCATCACCTTGCCTACATAGCCCAGTAACGCACTACCTACGTAATTGGAGCCCTATAAGATTCATTTCCAAGAAGCCATAAGTCAACGCATGCTTTCTTGAAACATGCAGTCAAACACACGGAATCCCTATTCTGCTAGTTTAAACACTTTCCCTAAACCCTAAACCCTACACGCTGAAAATAAGTCTTAAACAAGAGCCCAGCTTCGAAGCCTTCGTGGCCATCTTCGGCTACATACAAGCAGCTACCCAGCATCAAGACGATCACCAGAACTCCCAGCAGGAAAACCTTGGCTCCTCCCTGTAACACGGGCTGCGATTACAATAATGACTGTTTCGATGATGATGACGGTGATGATGGTGAGGATTCGGTGGTGATGGTTCTTATCGTTGGTACTGATCTTTATTCGGGACCCCCGCAAAAAAAAAAGCAAAACGTTACTCCATGGGGAGATAGAGACCATGATGAACCTCGCGACGCCTTTCAAGGCGATGCAAAGCTGCCGGCATTCTGGCAAATAGTACATCAGCCTGGTTCAGGGGTGGGGGTCCAGTTTCTCCAAATCAGAAGCCCCACGTAAAACTTTCTGCGCCCAAGCCAAGAATCCAAACCCCAACCCTAAACCGTCATAAGGAACTGTATAGAACTGTCTTTTTAAAACCTCTATAGAAGTCCTTATAAAGGGAACCCTGAAGCAGGCTTAGAAACTTCAGGAGCCGAAGCATCCGAAGAGGTAGGAGCGGATGGAAAAAGTGCACGTGACCGCGTCCTCGAAGCAAAGGCTTACAAGCTACTATAAACCCTAGAACCCTAAAGCCCTAAGCCCCAAACCCTGAAACCCTAAACCCTGAAACCCTAAAGCCCTAACGCCTAAAACCCTAAACTTTTAGGGTCTCGGACGTCGTTTCTGGGATTATTGGCTTCGGGTGTAGGGTTTTTCCCTCCTACTTAGCAAGGAAGGGTTTAGGGTTTAGGCTTTTTGTGCGCTTAGGAGTATCGGAAGGGTTGCAACAAGGGTCTTGGGGATTCCTGTCTAGGGTCACTGTAGAATCAGGGGTCTGCACCAATGCTTTGGGACATGGGGTGCGGGATGTGGGTGCTAAGCCCGGGGTAGTCTTAGGGGTTACAATAAGGACTAATTTGGCTAACAACCGCCTTAGATCAATGAGCAAAACAGGGTCTGTTTTTGGGGGGGAAATGGATTTTGATGTATTGCCTGAGGAATTCTTGGAAAAATGAAAGGCTTGTTTAGCTGCTCTCAGGCCCTAGAAACGGGCTTCGGCTTCCGGGTCCTTGGACCAGCTCTGTAAGCCGAATGATGAGAGTTGGCAGGCTCCCTGCTGCAACGACCAGATCCACGACACCTCAGAGGGTTCGGGATTTTGGGGTTAGGGGTGAAGCTTGCAGAGCTTGGCCTTATCGTCAAAATGGCACTTAACTTCGAGGAACACCCTCAAAGCGACCGGCGTAGAAAGACCGCTACAACAACCCATATGGGCAACCCTTCTGGCAACCCTTTTACCAATCTGCACACCGTAGCCCTAGGCCCCGTTAAAGTTTGATTTGGCATCCTGAGTGTTTGCATAGAGTCGTCATTCAGTTTAAGGTTTATAAGCCTTACAGGGTTTGGCGGGATTTTTAGCAGGTTCTATGGGACTTCGGCATATTAGGGTCTGCATTTATAGTGTTCCAGCTTCGGTTATATACCGTTCAGGGTTCTTGCAGAGGTCTAAGCCCTAAGCCATAAACCCTAAAACCTGACCCTAAAACCCTAAAACCCTAAACCATAAACCCTAAACCCTAAGAGCTCGAAGCCCTAAACCCCTAAAACCCTAAACGTCTAGCAGGGTCCAGACCTAGGCCGACACGACTGCAAGCAGGCCCTGGGCTGCAACCCTAAGCAACAACAACCCCAAAACCCTCAAAGCCTAAACGGTTTAGGGTATAGGGTTTACGGGGTTTAGGGTTTAGGGGCAAGCCAGGGGACCAATATTGAGAAGGGCCTCAAGTTTCACGTACGGCTGCCAGCTTTCGCACAAAAATGTATGATGAGGAGGGTTGTCAGGAGGGTTCTCCAGATTTAAGTCCCGGCTTGGGCTTTCAGCTTAGCAGTGACGGTTGATCTTGGGCGAATGAAATCTAGTTTGCTGAATCGTCAACCTTAAAACGCCAGACCTAAGCCATAAACCTTGAAAGCGCTGCAATGCACCCGACGATCAGGAAAGCCTAGTCGTCTGACGGGGATCCACCCCAGGACCCCCAACATACCCACTCTATGAAAGCCAGGTCGCCGAGGCAAGAGAATGCATAGACCAGGGGACGTCTTGAGGCGCAAAGCCGCAAAACGTATTCGAAGACGAAGAAGGCCGAACAAATCACCTGCTAAGGCTCAGGAGTATATGGTTTAGGGTTGGATGTGGGCCTTCTGGCGTTCAGGGTTTTAGCCTTTAGGGGGTGTTTAGGGTCCTACGGGCTTTAGGGTTTCAGAGTACAGGAGCTGAGGATAAGTTTGGGGCGTTGGGGTAAGTTTGTGCTACATGCAAATGCTTGCAGCGCCCCGGTCGTAAGCCTGGTCCTAACATGGAAGCAGGCAATTACCTAGGCCCTAAACTGCTACCACTGCTTCTTGATATCGTTCAGTCGAACAGTCGCCACCTCAATGCTGCCGTGCAATGATGTGGTGGTGGCGAAGCGGGGCACAGACAGGATCACGGTCGCACTGATGCTGAAGATAACCTCGCCGCTGAACCACTGAATGCATTTACGTTGTGCGATGCATGTTGTTAAACTTCTGCAAACATGATGGACAGCATTGCGCGCCGTACACGACACACGCCTCTGCATACTGCTCAACACGCCGTTCGTCCTGACTTTGTGTGCTGTGTCCAGTTCTTCTGTCCGGATTGGGAAGCCTTCTCGTTTCAAATCATCCATGCAAGCATGCATACCATGCACAGGTAAACACCGGCGGACACGTGCAAGCACAGATGCTAAGGAAACTACCTGTCTAACTGTCTAACTACCTGCCTGCGGCACCTGCCGGCCTGCTCACCTGCGAAACTGGCCGCTTGGCTACCTACCCATGTTATCCACCTCTCCAGCAGTCATCTGGCTTCCGGCGCAGCCATCATACGAGTCCGAATCTACACATCGCCTCAGGGCCCCTCGACAAGACATGTTGCCGGTTAACAGTTAACAATGTCCAGTTTTCAAAGTCCTACCACATGAACAGGGGCATACCTGTTCCCCCCACGCAGTACTTATCGACTAGTGACCTCTGGCACACGATTCCGAAAGTCCCGAATGGTGTCTGGCCCACCTCTAGGTCCACCGAGGTGATGGATTGAGCTAGGCTTGAGGCATCCAAGGTCCAAAGTCCAGCTGAAGGGTCTTCGAATTATGACTTGGCAGGAGCACCTGGGAGTTTAGCTGTTATGGCAAGA